TTATGAATACACTGATAAGGATTGGACAGAATAGAATGCAAACTAATTGTGCCAAGCCGGATCAACGATTCTGGGCAATTGGAAGGGATAAGAAAAAACTAGTCAAGACATTAAATAAAAAGTTAGTAGACAGCTAATTAAATTAATAAAACCGAGGCTGTTCAAGAAGCGCCTAAATAGAAGGCAATTTTTATAATGATAAAAAATGCAGATGTTCTGGTGATAACAATTAGATATTTTGTAAAAAGGCTACTAGGAATCAACGAATGGAAATCAGAAGAGAATTATAAAGTCAATGTGTTATTTGAATTTCAATATTGAAGCCGTGGATTGGTTGCAAAATAGAAAAGTATGCATTACAAAAACAATCCTATTTCTGGTGAAGCAAATTCACGAATTTCTTCCAACCAACTCTCTATTAATAAGTGAACTACGTCAGTAAATATCCTTTAAAATCTAGCTGATATTCAAAGGCTGAATAAATTTAGGTAGACCAAAGAGATGGTAGTAATTTAGATTGTGAATAAAAAGTGTATTCATAGGTAAAATCGGATAGAGAAAGCAAGCATACTTTATTTTTCTTCAGCCATCAAACAAAGGTTATCTCGAATGAAAGAAAACTAGGATAGTGTGATCCATATTTTATTCACAGTATTATTTCGTTGCAGAGAAGTGATTTGATCTCGTTTTCTTAACTTATTAGTGATTTTAGGACTATCCCGATAAACACATCTTTTCTGGAGTCCTTCATCCCTCCTCCTTATGCCACCGAACATCCGCACATTATTGCTGTTGTATAGTGATTTCAGCTACTCATTGCCATCGATCCATGGCACTCAAGTCGCCATCTCCCAGTTTCTGCATCAAGCGTCTAATAGCACGTATACGTTAGTCTCACATTACAGGTCCCCAAGTCATGGAATATCGAGCAAATTAGCATTCCATCCCAAACTATAGCGTTTCGACATTTGTACTAAGTTGGCTCTATTTCTCTATTTTTCTACACATCCAGGCTGAGGCTGTTTCTTCTTTCCATTTGGACGACATTCTACATGCTATCGACATTGTGCTCTCACAGGCCTTCTTTGAGACTCCCCATCCTGTCGACACTATGCTTCTTTCGCACACCGGACGCCGCAAGTCTCTTCTTAAATTAGCAGCTTTAGACACCATCGCCTCCAGCCTCGAAGATGATTCCCATATCTTCTTACTGCATTCTACAAACACTTCAATTTCCCAGACAACTTCATCGACTGGGCACAGTATTAGCACTCCCTTTTTCGATCAGCTGCAGCTAGGCAAATGGTTGTACAGCGCCCTGGGACGCCTCTTAACGCTAGCCAGGACGAAGGTCGAAGAACAAACAATTCGTCATCTGGCAGTCGTCTGCCACGACCGTTTCTTGGCGCTTCAGCTTGAACAAATCGATAGCGCCAGTCAGCTCTTCGTCCGACATGACAATTCAGGTGTCATTAAAATTTGGTCATGAATAATGTTTTAAATGAAAGTTATGTTCGGCCGCATGGTATTTTTATTCAATCTGCCTACATCCTTTTGAACGTATTGTTTGAGTCGACTTTAGTAGCCGACACGTATTCATCTTCTCGACATATCTTCTTTTTAACTGTGAGTTAAGTGGGGCGGTTAAATGTTAAAATTCGCGTCTGGCCTGCAGTCTAACGACGCCAGGGTCTTGTTGCCCAACAGTAGCATGCTCTTCTCTGGGTTCACGTAGCCTCTGTTAGAGTCTCTCAGGCCGTATGATTATGTGAGGTGTTTGAGACTACACTCCTTTGATATCCCCTCTCTAAAAGTTTCCTTCTATTCCTTGTTATAAACACAACCCTGTCCGTCATTCTCCTTATTAATCTCAACCTGACTCGCTCTGCTTTCAGCCAATTTGTCATGCCTCTAATGCCTTAACGCACTCTCACCTTGTTGTCCGCTTTCATGCGCTGAGCCTGTGATTCATCTCAAATAAACCTTGTGTATGATGGCTTTACCGGGAATGTGAGTTATTTCACTAATCACCATTTGAATAGGTTTGCATTCTTTGAGATCCATGTCATCATATCTCCTAAAAGCGTTTTATCTTCACTTGGCAGTCTAGGAAATTTGATCGAAGATATGAAGACAAGGATGGTGTGGCCTTTTGTGTGGTCGCAGTCTTCTTTTGTTGTATAGAAGTTGTTTGACCTTGCTCTCGAAACTTGGTCATATTGGTAGGAATAGTTAAAGGAACGCACCTAGTCCGGAGTCCATTGTATGCATGATCATTTCTAAGGTCGGACCGTGGACGTGGTACATTCCCTGACGTTTCGCCTGCATCATCTGGGAATGTACTACGTCTACGGTCCGACGTTGGAAATGATTATGCATACAATGGGCTCCGGACAAGGTGCGTTTCTCTAAGTCTTCCTACCATTATGACCAAGTTGTGAAAACAAGGTCAAACAACTAAAAGGAAATTTGAGTTTAAATACAGGCATAACTCTGCTAGTCTCTTAATAATAATGGACAGACTCGCTATTGATCCAATAACACCAATTTACAACCATACAGCTTAAGGGGCTGTTCATATTTATGCATTTTAAGTATTTAAAACTAATTTGCCTACATCA